CAAAATACAAATCGAATAAATGGCAGAAGTTTTTGTCTAAAATTCAAAAAGAGCATATGATAATAGAGTAAAAGTATCTTGATAATATCTCTCTAGAGTATATAAACCTAAAACACTATCTATTTCAAAATTAGATAATAGTAAAATTGTATCGACAAAAGAGAGTGAAATCAATGATGAGATTTTTTATTCACAATAGATGAGGTTAGATTCTCATGAAATTCAAATTGAAGCAGAAAATCTAGAATTAATGAATAATCTAGCGATGTTAAATGAAAAGATTGAGACAATAGATGTTAGCGAGATAAAGAGCTATATATTGAAAGCAAAAAAAGTTGATTAGCTTTCGCTGTATAAGGTAATTCGAGTATCGTCAGTTCGGAATGCTTTTTGTTAAAAATCATTGATAGATACTTTTGACACAAATTGATGTTTCAAACTTCCGAAAAAAAGTAGATTTCATCTGAAATGGTCGAAGAGATGTGAGAGAAACGTCTTATTGTCATTAGAAATTGCGGAAATTGATAAAACAGAGAAGCAGTATTTCAAACTAGAGCACTTTCAGATTTGTCCGGCTACTTCTGATCGTTTCCTATCAGATAGAAAAGAAAATTGACCGAAAGCGATTGGAAAAATCTGTAGACTTTCTGACCTGAAATACTTTTACTAAGTTCTATTGATTTTCATTATTCTTTTTTTTGTCAGAACTGACGCATATGCATCACGTGAGAAAACATATTTACGAATAAGATATGCGTAGGAGACTACACATATATATATAGGAGTGCTAGTTCAGTCATTCAGTGATTCGCAAGTTAACAAGTAAACAGTAAGTTCGATAGAGAGACGTGTAAAAATGTAAACGTAAATATATATTTATTTATATCTGGACATGTATGTATTTACGACAATACATATAGATATTACTATAGACTGATACTATAGAAGATAAAGTTATTCTTACCTACAAATGTAATTATTTCAATATAAACCTTTACAGGCGCACAGGTGCGTAAGAATATAATACTAGTCTTAAAGACAATGACTGTTTCAACGTTATTTCGACTGATTTTATTGCAAAAGTCGACCAAAAAATCATGAGAGCATTGAGGTAGTATCTAGAACCGGAAAGATGTCGTAACGGAAACAATGACTATTCACATTTTTCTGACCATCAGTAATATTATGAATCTAACCAGATTCAATCGACAACTGTAAGTACTATTCTAGAAACATGATAGAACACCATCGTTCTTAGTTGTCTTAAGGTGCTAGAATCGTTGATCAGATTCTTTTATATTAGTTTTCACTACAGAGATAGTGGTATCTTGGATGTTTCCTATTAGTCTTTTTCATTGTTCTACTGGATCTGATCTTTCTTCGAATATTTCCGATGATAAGAATGACTGATCTGAGTTCTGGTATGGGTTTTAGATAAACGTTTAGTCAGATACGATGAGTTTTTAGTTTTGTCCCGATCGTTTCCTATTATTGTTCTTTTAGATTTAATGAAGTTCTAGCTTGCTTTCATGCTTCGAAAAGCGTTGTGTCCAGTACCACGGCTCTCCGAAGTGGAATACTGTTTTCATGTTCCTATAATTTTCCAGTCTGTTTCTCCTAGAAGATAACAGAAACGATAGGAAATATCTCCAGAAAATACGTTGTTTCCGGAATGATTAAATCGCATTCATCCACCTGGGAAGTTCTCAATCAGGCTTCAATCACACCTGCTGAAGCGAATGCAGGTATTCTGACGTTTGGAAGTTAGCCAAAATAGTACATTGAATAAATTAAAAGCCAGAACACCTCGTTGTGATCGAGTACAATAGATTTTACACTTTAGCAACACATTCAAAGCTGCTTGAAAAGAATTATATTAGAAAAAGTGAGACACTGAACTGAAACATACAATCAAGTTCCAGCTTGATAGTTCAATTTTCGCCCAGGTGGTTTCATTTTTCCTAGAGTCCTATCTAGCAATTAAGAAGTTTAAAATAAAATGACGGCTAATATTCCAATACTATTAATGTATGTTAACTACCAAAACACATGCGACAATATGTAACATAAGGGTCTTATTGTTAAATTCTGTAGAATGAGCATATCTTTAGTATCATTGAAACTAATTATTTCATGTTTAAGTGATCGTTGTGCATATGTTGTCGTTAGAGAGAATAAATGAGAAATATTTCATAACTGATTCTGGCCAATGAACCGAGAAATAAAGCTAATAATTAAGGCTTCAGAAGAAGTGAAACACAAGTATGTAATAAAATAGAAAAGTACTCCAAGAAGTGGAAACAATCCATACGTTTGTCTAAACAATAGTATAGATCTTTCATTTGCATGTATAACATGCAGTAGTCTATGTATATATGAAGAATCAAAAACTACAAATAGTTAAAGAATTTGAATGTCTAGATTTCACTTAAATAAATAAGTTGTCTTTAAACTAACGATTAGTACAACACTTAAAACATTCAAGGGACATTTATCAAATGAAGATGATAAAACTCTTTCAAATGTTGTCTTTCGAAGACGTAGTTCGGTTTAATTTTTCTCATTCTGTTTGGATATTTTCATTCTATCCATTTCTAACCAACATCCAAAAATAAATATTCTTGATGAAATCTAAAAATATACTGAGACTGATTCATCGTTGCCGCGTTGTCTGAATAATAGATTTTCTTCATATAACAAATGAAGTTTCATTAGCAAATTATGTAAAATGAATGATAAAAAAAAAAGACTAGAACAAATCGATTAATTAGACATAGGTCGTCCGTTTTTCTAAAATAATATATTTTATTGAAATTTATTTCATACGAATAAAAATGATCATCTTAGACATTTTGTTTTTGAATAAAATTAGAGAAACATACACAGACAAGGTATCACCATCATTGTTTTTTTCAGTGGTTTCATTTTTGATCGATGTGAAGCCCACCATGTTTTGTTTGGACTCCCTCTATTCTTCTCATCTATACTTTTCTCCACCTCATTTTCTCTCTCTCCTTTGCTTTTGTCATCCCTTGTTTTTATTCTTTTCGTCTTCGCTCCTCTTTTTCTTTTTTTTTTCTGATTTTTTTTCTTTCCACCGTATTTTATCTATCAAACATGCCATCTTCTGAATTTATTTATTTCCACTTTCTTTTTATATTCATTATCACCACTCTTGGCAGTGTAAATTACGCAGTTGCAAATGCTTATAATAATTCTTGTAAGAACTTTCGACTATAATAATAAGAAAGTAAAATTATAATATTTATATATAGATATGACCATACTGACCGGATACCTCAGTTCTATTTTTTTTTATCAGTCAACTTCTATAATATATCAGAAAAATAATATTTCTTTTTTTTATTTTATTTACAATACTCACGTAATATCGATGATTTGTTATTGTTTGATTTATATAGTTTGTCTGAAACAAAAATAATTAAGTGTCTTCGTAAAATATTTTGCTCAAACGTATTTTTTAGTAAATCTCTCCGTTTATTATGACTCTCACTTGATATTCTGACTGTTCCGTTTCGATTCTTCCAACTTAATAGCATACACTTTTAATATGGTACTAACCCCAAAGTATAGGAGCAGCTGTTGAAAATATTCGTCAATGTATTTCAAATTATGTTATTTTAAGGACTTATTTACATAGAGGTCTGCGATAATTTTCATAAGATTACTAAAACTGCGCACGTTGTTTCTGTCTTATGTTATCTTAGGTTGACTAAACATCATATTTGTAATCATAGACCGTGATACATTATCTATCGTTTCTGATCGATTACTTTTGATAAAAGTTTGTCAGTTGTATTTTTGGCTGTTTCAAATGACAGCTACGAATTACAGTGAATCAGTTTGAAAAAAAAGTATGTTTGAGTAAAATATTTTACGAAAACCCTTGATTATTTTTATTTCAGATAAAATATATAACCCCAATAATAACAGATCATCAGCACTACACTAGTACTATAAATAGCAAAAAAAATCGTATTTTTCCGATATATTATAGAAGCTGCAGGATAAAAATAGAACTGAGACATCTGTTCAAAGTAGCCACCCCATACATATATATATATAATAAAAACATTTATCTAACGACTTCGTTCTTCATATCCGACAATAAACAAAACGTACGTCACAATGACCTATGAGGAAAAAAGTGAGAAATGCTCTTGTTAATAGGATTCAAATCATCCTATTCTAAGTTATGTGAACGATTTTCATTACCAGACACGCTTAGCCTTGGTTATGTAAAAAAATTACTTGATCAGATAATGTCGTATAATACAATCGAATATAAGCCAATACCTTGTAAATGATGGGAATGATAATACAATGACGATGATGAAAATTGTCTATGACAAGTGCGCAATAATGTTTATTCTGTTTTATTTTCAATATGAATTTATAGGTAAAATCGTTGTTATCGTTTTCTCTGATTTTCTTCTACACCTATAATACCCAGATGGGTAAATAATATACACAATCATCACCTTTTTCTCTTTCACCACTATCACTTTTTTCGTATGCTGAAGAGACGAAAACAATGTAAATCAAACGAAACAACACAAAAAAAGAAGAACAAGAAAGAAAGGAAAGTTATCTATTAGATGTTGTCTACTCCCTGAGTTCACGTCGATAAAAACGTAAGAATTCGGTACGTGACTATATATAAAAAAGAAAGTATGTGAGAGAGAGAGAGAGAGAGAGGGAGAACGAAAATGGGTAAGTACTTTTGCTTTTTTTTTGTATATTTCCATTCTTAAGAACTCAATGACACAAATGTAACAGGCTCTTTGACTGTTTTATCCGATGATGAGACGCAAAATTATGCGTCTATCAACCAGATATTCTTTTCTTCGAATAACTATTTTTATTTATTTTTTATTTTAAATTACAGATAAATAAAACATTATTGAAGCAACAATTTTGGATTTTCAATAGAATGTTTATTAAATAAATAAATGTTCATAATGACGTATATTACTGACATGCTTGTCGTTGTTTTATTCATATTAATTTTTACCCCATTATCACAATGTAAGTAATAGAAAAAAAAGGAAACAAAATCATTGTTCTTTCTGTCATTTAAGCATATTCAATCACTTGTATTGTTTAATTGATACCTTCATAGACAGTATCATATATCAATAGTGCAACTGTTTTCTTTTTCTTGAATATTCGTATGAGACGTACTAATGAAAACTTTGATGATTATTTTGTTGAAAAGAAAGTCGAGTGCATATAATACAGATGTATGCTTGATTAGTTAATAGATAAATGACAGTTTATTCTTGTTACAGTAGTCTAAGAAATAATAAACGTCGATAAACAGCAATCGGACTATTTTCTATATGACAAACATAATCAAAATCAGCAGACATAGTAAATCATCGAGAATGTTTTCTATATGTACATATCTGTGGAAACAAAAATAATATTTCTAACATAATCTTATTAGAACAATCATTACTATTTTACCAAGAAAACAAGATGTGAAACAAAATATGGTTGATTGTTATCGATGCAATAGCATAGAATTCTGATAACATCAAATAATTTACTACTAGTTGATATTTAGTAAAAAGTAAATAAAGAGAGAGAAAATGAAAAATAATTACGATGGTTCGTGTAGAATAGTTGAAGGCTGTCTTAACAAGAATTGATTCAGTTTTTGAAAAAAATATAAAAGAATTTTGAAAACAAATGAATGTCAATACATGCTTACTTTTGATAATTGATAATTAATCATTTTTTCAAAACTTTTTAAACACTTTCAATAAAACCTTGATAATGTTCACCTTGTTTTTAAAAGTTATCATTTAAATAACCTTTGTCAAGGTTTAGAATTCATTTATTTAATCATAGCTTTTCTCTTAATCTGCTATTTCACACCAATAACATACATAGAAATGGTAGTTCTATCAAAAACGACAAAAAGAATTAATTTATCTTTTTTTTTTTTGTTAAATCTATTTAGCCAGTGATTCTCTTCTTCCTACGTACAATTCATCAACTCATTGTCATCATCTGACTCTCAGTGATGAAAATCTCACTTTTGCTCTTTGTCTTCAACGTGCATCAGATAAACAATATCCATTTAATTTTTACACGTCATCATCATTTTGTTCAAAATCTTATCCACCAGATGGTCATTTAGTTGATTTATTGTCTTTATCTTCATCAACAGTTGATTTACTTTTTCAAAGTTTAGCAAATCTTCTAAAGTCAAATGATCCTAATATCGATTTACCGGAACCAAAATTTTTTTGGATAAATTCAAGTAAGATTGAATGATCAGATTATTTTCAACAGTTGAATTTTAGATCTCACACAGACTTTAACAAATAATAAATTTCGGTGTCCAAATCAATGTCAAGGAAAAAATGACTCAGACAAATTTTTGATATTAAAAACACTTTGTCAATATAATAACGATAGTAAACCATGTATTACAACAAAAAATACACATTGGAATCGTGCACCATTTATTTGTTTGACAAGACAAATAATAAACTCGGAAAAACAAATATCATCAGAGCCTATTCATGTTTCGCCAACTTATTCAAGTAATATTTTATTTATTTTTTTTTTAATAGAAAAATATTGTAGATGAAACAATTATGTTCTATGATTCAACATCATGTATCATTGTTCGTACGCGTACACATCAATATACATTTTGTATTCGTCGTCAATCATGTCCAGAATCAAAGACACATGCATATTGTACTAGTAGAATTGATGCACAACGTATATGTCAGGAAGAAAAAAACGGTTCGAATTTATTAACAATAGAAAATGATGATGAATTTCAACTTATAACTGATGTACTATCTCGTTATTCCAATGAATCAGTACTTATTAATTCCGGTGATTATGCAGATCAAAATGCTTTGCGTGCACAATGGTTGTGGATTGATGGAAGAAAAGGTTAAATATTTGAAAGAAAGAAAAAACAAAAAGAAATATTTTGTTTATTATTCATATATAGGTTTTGATAATATTTATCGATGGAACATAAATAATAGATTTTCCACAGCAATACCAGATAAATATTGGTGTGATGGTAAAGCAAATTGTCCAGGTGGCAAAGGACGTGATCATGTTGTTTTAAGTATAAATTGTCAAGCAGATATCGAAATTTTTCAAGCTTGTCTAGCATCAAGACTACAATCAAATCCAGGACCATATATATGTAAACGAACATTGCAAAAAAACGAAGGTAAAGTAATTAGAATGTCATTTGATGATTTAAATGAGAAATAGTTAATTTTTTATAGAATCAGTTTTAAACTATACTTATCTCCGAGATTTAATTATGTCTCCTACGACAACACCTATTCCTATTTCTACAACGCCAATTCCTACAGCAACAACATCTACTCCAACTACAACAATACCTATTCCTACTACAGCAACGCCTGTTTCTACTACAAGAACATCTATTACTACTACAACAAAACCTATTGCTACTAAAACAAAACCTATTACTACTACAACAAAACTTATTACTACTACAACAACACCTATTCCCATTGTGCCAGTTTATGAAAAAAGTAAGTTCACTTTGTTTGCATATCTTATTTCATTGCGTCTTGTAAATCAGATTTCACATCAATTTATTATGATGAACATCATTGTTTAACTGTTCAAACACGTTCTCATTTGTATTCATTTTGTTTACGTCGACAAAATTGTATAGCAAGAAAAGCTTATTGTACGAAATGGAGCCTAGCTCGAAAAGATTGTACAGTATTAAAAAATCAAGCACAATTATTAACTATTGAAAATAAACAAGAAAGAACATTAGTTACACATATTATGAAACATTATTTAAATGAAACACGTTTAACATTTAATGGAAGTTCATATCTTTATTATCACTTAGCAGATTTTATATGGATTGATGGAGTTCGACAAGGTTATTTAACATAGAATTTTAGAAAAGAAAAATTTTGTTTTGTTTTTTATTTTCGTATAGCTGACAAAAAAACATATTTATGGAATAATGAACGTGATTCTATACCAAAACATTTATGGTGCCCGAAAAACGAATGCAATTCAAATAAACATGAACGTGTTATGTTGAATGTATTATGCAAGAAAAATAATTCATTACTTTGTTTGGGTACACGTATTGAATGGCATCCAGCACCATATGTATGTAAACGTGTACGATCTAAAGATAGTAAATATTAATCACCTTTCTTTTTTCTTAATTTAAATATATAAAACTGATTTCTTATTTTAAATAGAATGTCCAATTTTATTTGATAAAATACGTAATATAGAATCGAATGAAATGTTAATTGTGACAATAAATCGAACAGTAGTATTTATTACATGTAAACATCCAGAGTATAATACAGAAATAAAAGTACAATATGAATGTGATATTAAAACAAATCAATGGAAATTAATCTATGAAAATGTCAATTTTATTTGTCGTAAGTTATTATACATTTTGCAAACACAAATAAATTTATTTTATGTAGCTAATTATGATGTTCCTTCGACACCTGCATCAATTATTGAAATTCAATCATCTCAGACGATCCATAGTTCAAGTAAGAAATTTCTCTTTCATATTTTCAGACAATATATTAAAAACAAGTGTTCCGCAGAAATATCTATGTTAGAAAACAATGTGTTCATTTTCTTTGTCAGCTAGTTAATGAACATATGAATTCAGTTAAATATTTGATAATTACACTAGCTATTTAATTATTATAGATATATGTAGGCTTGTAGAGAAGGACTTCGTCTATCTAATGATATTTCTTTCTGTAATTGATAACAATTGAAAAACTTATAGTTACCTGTAGCTGTTCCCTATTAGAATTGGTCGTTTTTATGTGAATATCTTCTTTACTACAATTTTGTTTTGATGACCTTTCCAACTATAGATTTTTTGATCACGAGAAATATATTTTTCTTTGTTATTTCAATCTTTCTCATACGTCGTTTATTGAGTCTATTTAAAAATTGATGATTATTCGAATCACGTGTACTAAATTTTAAGATATTTAAAATTGTATCGAAATCTGAAGTGTCGATTTTCTTTATAATAGATATCACCTATTTATGCTTTTTCTATTGAATGATTTATCTGTTTTTAGTTTTACTCTCATCTACTATCGTTTATCATCTATTTCTATTTCTGATTTAATTAACTCTTTCATTACGGGACCCCTATATATGCAGACTGAGCTTTTGCTTTGATTACTTCTGTGACATTTATGATTTCCTTGAATTACTCGAGTTCTACAAGGGCATGACTTTTCATTCATCATCTTATCTGATGCTTTTCTTTTATTCTTATCTTAGCTAACTTTACAGGAGTTATACTCAGGGGTATAAGCAAAAGTTATTAAATTAAGGCATACTACATTGAGTTATTGAGGCAAAATATCTTCATTCATACAGAATTATGGATTTACTGTTGAGGCAAAGCACGTCAACCCTAAGGTACCGTGTCAAAAGCTACTGCGGTGGTGACGACAATATTCATACACCAATACTATTCCGGTCGTACTCTTAGCAACTACAGATTAGAATAGGGTAGACTGATCCTACAAAGCTCTAGCATTTAGTCAGATCATAAAAGTGGTTTCACATTACCAGAATCAGCCCGTCATTGAATAGTACTGCCGTGCACTTACACATTCTTTTTTTCAAGATTTTTAACATAAACCAAAACTTTTTTATTGGTAAAAAAAAAACCGTAACCAAATGGTTAATTAGTTGTAACACAAATTGATTAAAACTTGAAAACATTCATTTCTTATAAGTAGAAATAATCGATATTACGAGTTACACAGAAAAAATTGCAAAATAATTAAAAACATACAGAAAGAAAGAAACTAAATAACATATCAAATGTGAATGTATACTAACCGCATGAAATCAAAGAAGTAAATAAAAAGCAATTTACCGAAAATAATTGTGACATATTCGTAACATGATACTCTTTGCTTGTCTCAAATTCTATAGATTTTAAATAGTGCATGAAATAACAATAACTATTTTTATATTGTCTTTGTTATAGCATCATATCCGGCATCGAATAATTTATCATATCCAATACGAAATATTTCATCATATACAACATCGAGTACTTTATCATATTCAATACAGAGTACTTTAGGGCCAATAAAAGGTATAAAATAAATATATTATCTTCCATAATACATATTCGAAAATTTTTTTCAGAAAATGATTGTTCACAATCGGAACTCTCATCAATAATACTTCGTTTACCAACTGAATCTCGTAATATTTATTCACAGAAATTAGTATCTTATTCATCATCATCTTATGATATGAGATTAACATGTTATTTTAATCATTCAATTCAAATAACTTATCGTTGTAATTTATTAAGTAAACAATGGATCTATGTTCATGGGAATATAAATCGTTTTCAAAAATGTTATCAAACATGTAGTAATAATGAACGACATGAATTATTAAATAAATATTTTACACAATATCAACAAGCAAAAATTCGTACAATATATATACCAGAAAGAAATTCATTACGTGTATCATGTTTGAATAGAGCTATAAAACGACGGATAGCAATTAGATATAAATGTGGAACAATGACAATAACAACACGACAATGGTATAGATTATATTCATGTTTTCAATCTACTATAGAAACAGAACTGCCGAGTAAGTTTATATTGACATAGTAACAAAAAAAAAGATATTAAAAATTGAGTTTGTAAAATCATCATTTTTATAATATTAATTTTAACACGATGAACATCTTGTTCAGTGTCTATTGTATAATTACAAAAAAAAAGCAAACCTGTGGTTGTTAATATGGCAACTGACGCTTTATTCATAAACAATTTCAAATATATAACGAGGACCTAATATATTGTAAAGATGCTAAACTATTATTACGCATTTTTTATGTTTTAAAAGTGGAAAATATATGAATTATTTTTCGAGAATTGAGCGCGCAGAAGTGAAAGTTAAAAGACAATATATTTACTATATATTTCAAAAAAAAGAAAAGTACTTCATTGTTTTTTTGAAAAACTTGTTATAAGAAGAGTCGAGGCTATCGAAGTATATCGAGAGTCAATAGTTGGCCAATCATGCTGGCTCTTAATAGAAATTTTCAAAAACGATATTCTAAAGTTATTTTTCTTTCAATATACTTAAGATTGAGATTCGTAGTCTATTCCATTCGAAAGATACAAAACTTTTCCTCATACCTCCACTTTC